TTCTAGAATGAAATGTTTCCAGGATCATTGTTGCTTCAATAGTGTGAATAATAATAGTTCTATTTTAATAAAAACAATTATGTTAGATCTGAGTTTAGCTCTTAACCCCGTTTTCATAAAAGTAAAAACAATTTTGCAAGTGATGTTCCCTCTTGATACTCTGATACTGGAAAAATGATATTGCCAAGGTAATTGGATAATATGATTTTCTTAAAAGCATGAAACAGCTTTATCTCAAGTATGTCAATCTTAATCCCATTAATCCTCTGAGGCAGCAGATACCATGCATTTGCACTTGTGTGCAGTGCAGTCTGTGACCTTGCAAAGCAAGTACTGACCAGTCAAAGAAAGTAAGAGCTGTGGGAAAATCTGTGCAGAACCCCCTGACTGAAAAAAATAAGAGAGCTGGAGGTTCACACAGATACTTCTCCCAGCATTTCTTCCAGATCAACATAAGAAATCACACTACAGGCTGTGTAGTGCCATATGTGTAGAGAGWGAATTTATGAAATAATTTTATATTGATTTTATTTTTGCAGCTTGTGTTTTGGAGAGGGCTTTATGTTCTACTTTTTTTTCTCATGGTATGAAGCACTTTATTGCAACAGTAAACTGCACTGTCTTCATGAGCTGTTACAGCCCTGTCTGTTGCAGCCAATACTTTTAAGCACCAAAAAAGCACTCTGAAAATCAGGTCACTTCTTTTAGTAGGTATTGCTTGAGGTATTTGACTATAGGCGCAGCAGTATTAAAATGTTGACATTATTTTATCTGCCTGAAATGAAAGGAAATGCTGTGCTTTAAGGGTTGTTTGTCCTGTTCAAGTAATACACAGAGACCCTTTCATAAAAAGTATTACAACTGTTCATGGCCAAATCAAAACTTCTAAAGTGTTCCTTTACCCTGAAAAGGCTCTTTATCGGTTTCATGATGTCTTACAGTTTTCTCCTTCACCAAATTTTGAAATCAGGGTTTCTTTCTCTTGTGACTATCATATAAGAAGTAAGATAGAGGGGATTTGGATCCAAATTTATATCTACAAAATCACTTATGTACTGAAATGTTGTTATAAATAAACAAAGAAAAGAAAAAGTAAAAAGAAAATTTAAAAGAAACCAAGCTAGACTTAAATACCTACCAAAAATCCTATGATCAAACCGTTGAACTAAAATAGCTTTTTTATCAAATATCCTTACATTCTTGTATTGAAGCTTTGTCTAGGCAGATAAGATAGCTTGTACAACTTCCTCAATGTGTTCAGTGAAATTAGAAGCATATCTGAGTCAGTGTTTCAGGCTGTTCTCTAAATTTCGATGGCTTTTTAACCACAGCCATCCTTTTCTCTTGGCTCATACAGGRTTTACCCTTAAACCCATAACATGAACTGGAAGTTGGGTCACTTTTGTATTATTTCCTTTAGTTTTGTGTTTGCAGGTGACTCCCAGTACCCAAACCAGCCAGTGGGTCTGTGGCACTCACTGAGGCTGCTTTGCCCTGGTCTCTGTGTGACCAGCTCAGCTCTCTTTCTCTGCAACTAGTGTTTTTAAAAAAGTGGAAAAGCTACTAAAAGCATGATGGTTGTTTTTCAGTAATTGCTCACTTCACTGATACAAGCAGAGCTCAAACTGGAAACTTCCAATCACGTCATACAAATTGAGGACTAGAGCAATGCATTCAAACCTCATCGTGGTACGGAGTGTGTAAATAGAAAGTTTTGTGGTAAATCCATTGCACCCAGCATTCAAAATCTGGCCTATCATTTCTAAATAATTTTGAGAAGCWTTGAGATAAAAAGGTCTTGTACTTATACATGCAATTATTGATAACAGAACATAATAATTCCAAAGTAAGTGTTTCCACAGCAACTATATCTCCTAACTTGTGTTGCACCTATAAACTACAGCATTTGATTTACCAGTATATGCATTATTTAATAAAACTACAAGTGTTTAGCTTGTCTGTTTGGATTTGGATCTTGTTATGGATGCATTATGAACATTGTAACTTTATCTTCCCTGACTTTTTCTCCGTTAGAGACATACTAACATATACTAACATATTTTATTCAGTGCATTAAAGATTAATTCACTAAATTATCTTAATGAGAAAAGGCAAAGATCTTCAATTRAAGTATAATGAATAAAATATTAATCAGATCAAAATGCACGTCCTCTGAGAATTCACAGATTCTCTGCATACTCTGACTTCRATATCTAATAGCTGCCTGAAAACTGATTGGAAATACACCATTACTGGTTTGGAACTTCTGATTGAAGTCTGAGCATGTCATCAAAATGTCTGCAGAGCTGGATTTGATAAACTTTTCTTAAATTCTTTTTTTGTGTGAGTGATTTGAAAAGTCAAGGGTTTACAGTGACAAGCAGAAGCTGGAGGTTCCAAAATGTATGTGAGTGGGGGTATGAATATAGATTATATACTCACTGTTTGATGATGTTCTAGGCCTAGAATTAATGCAAGACTAAGATCTGATAAAAATGTGATCCTGTCTGTCATAAGTGGCTAAGGGAGGAATGTAAATGGCTCTGCACTTTTCTACATCAAAAATCAAAACTGCTACCAAGCATTACCTTCATTTGAAAGCATCAGCTTTCCAGATCTGGTCTCTAGGCATAAACTTAGAAGTGGCAGAATGGAAATATTGCATCTTCTTTCTTTTTTTTTTTTCTTTCCTAATGTGGAAAAATTAGAGCTGTTCATTCAATTCTATTCCTCCATTACATTCTGTTAGGACTTGGTGATCTTAGTCTTAGTTAAAGCTTTACCCTTTCCTAGAAAAATATATCAAGCATTTTTCAGAGTATTTATTCAGTAGCATCCTATAAATGCCCAATTCTGCATGCCCTCATTCAATAAGAAAACTGAACTTAGAACTATATTTCTGCCTTAAGGAACTTAAGATTCTTGGAGTCCAGGAAAATATACTTAAAAACAAACAAACAATCAACAAAACAAAAAAAAAAACCACAACAACAAACTTTGCATGCTGCTGAAAGACAGGAATTGAAGAGCCATTTACTAAAGGGTAATTGAAGAGAGCATGCTAATTTACTTTAAAAAGGCCCAAGGAAAGAATTAGTTAAATAAAACATGGAGCAATTGAKAATGACTAAGTTCTGAGAAGGAAGACTAAATCCTAAGGAGAAATATTGATAAAGGTGCAAACTAGAGTGGATTTCCAGGATTAAATCTTCAGTTCTTTGAGGAAAATACTGAAGTCCCAAGTGACTTTCAAGGCTGGACTTGACTAAGAGAGAATGGGGAAAACAAAACATAAGASGAAAGAAGGACTGTTTGAGCCTGGCAGTTTAAGGAAGGCCCTACATCATTATGTTAGGAGCAGGAAAAGAAAAGTCAGTGAATGAAGAAGGGTGGCAGGGTCATGGGTTTTGAAACCATCAGGAAACAAAGCAAAGACATAGGCTGTGAATAGTTTAATTAATAAAATTAATATAATTAATTAATTGTTAAAAAGCTGATAAGGGCTTAGGACCATTAAATGTCTTTGTTCCTTTGTATAGTGCATTGGGTTTTGGGTTGCAGTTTATAGCAGTATAGATTGATTAAAGGCTATAAAAAGGCCATAAAAAATTGTTTATCTAAACAGTAACATTTGAAAGGAGTTACAGCCTCTGGACTTAGACTTATGTTCGTAGTGGGAACCAACAGCTAAGCCATTAGCAAACATTCAATTGTTTCAGTTTTGGTTGTCTAAACAAATTGCATATGCTCTGGCTGAAGTCTAGAAAGCAATGGATACACAAGATCCTTGGCAGAAGGTAAATGTTGATGAAGAACAAATTCCCCATAGAAAATATTATTCTGGTAGGTGAGAGTATTTTTAAATTGCAAGACAAATCTAGTAACCCAGATTCATGCCTGCTTATGTGGTTTTTAAGGTTTTCTGATTGTTATAGCTATGGCTGGTTTATAGAGTTGATTCACTGAGAACTGAATCAGAGAAGCAGCAAACTAAAAGTTTACAACTACTTGTATTTAAGTAAGAGATGAAATGTATTCAACTAAAAAACCCTTTTGCAGGTTCACCTTTARATAAAAATGGTGTTTCTGCAAAATAGCTTCAAAGATCCTGCTCCACTGCATGTTGTCTCKGCAGTCCCAGGAAGGAGAAGGATGTTGTTGGTTTACATGGTCAGAAGCGTCGGGAGCAGAGGAAGGGAGACAATGGGTGGGCAAGAGCACTCTGCCCTTGGACTGTCTTTTCTTATGTCTCAAAAATCTCATCAATGCACACTCCCAGTGTTCCAGATTTCCAATACAAAAAAGGCACAGCACTGACTTCAGATCAAGAGAAATAATGCACATCATTAAAGAAGAAGAAAAAGGAAAAAGAAGGGAATAAAGGGTTATGATTCACACACTGAGACTAACAGAATTCAAAAGGAGGAACACTGCTAGCTGCGAGAGTGCAGTTGCACCAATTAAGCTATAGAAGCAATAGTAGTAAAATTTCACACTTGCAAACMTACTTTTGTGATGATTAGTACATAGCTCCACTAATCTGAAATGTTTCTTGAGCCAAAATCATCCTGCTGAATTTTCCTATGTATAGTCTGTCAGGAAAGAATAGGGATTTGTATTTCAGTTTTTGTGCTTCCCCAAAGATGTTTGATATGTTGAGCTGAACCAAAAATATCCTGATCTGGTTTATAAATGCTTTGAATTGAATAGCTGAGAAAAACCTCAATTTATCCAGCCCTGTATTAAACCTAACCAAGGCTTCTATGTCAGCATGTTTGCTAGAATCTTCCCAGATAAGTAATGGGAAAAGGCAAAAAACTCCAAAGATGCTGGTTACTATGCAGGATGAGCAGTGGACCTCCATTGCAACAGCAACCCGTGGTCCATTGGGATGGAGAATGGGCCTGGGGCCATCAGGGGTTTTTTTATGGCTCTGTTGTGGATTGCCAATAATATCAGGGAAGAGGGTACTGATAAGAGAATTGTGTTTATCACTTCAGGTTCCTCAAGATGAATGGACTGGCTACACCCCGCGAGGAAAAGATGACGAGATTCCCTGCCGACGAATGCGCAGTGGCAGCTACATCAAAGCCATGGGGGACGATGACAGTGGAGACTCGGACACGAGTCCGAAGCCATCTCCAAAGATTGCTGCACGGAGAGAGAGTTATCTCAAGGCCACCCAGCCATCCCTTACAGAGCTCACCACCCTCAAGTGAGTCCATGTTCTGCTRCATCCCACAGAGCTCTCCATTCAGACATTGATTTTCTATTCTTATTTGTTTCTTCCCTTTACTTCTAGCTACCAKTTAAGGCACTTGAACTAGAGTGTTCAGGCATGCTTATTTTTGCATGGGTTTATAAATTTTTTTCTGAACAAGAGTAAATATGGGAATGTGTTTCAATGTTATTCTGRAAAGGGACCTGCACATTCAATTTGCAAAGTTCTTTAACCTGTTAGTGTTAAGTGCACATCCAGGTATGTGTACTAGGYCTGCTCTTTAAATGCTTTGCTATATAGCTTTGGGCTGCAAAAGCTTTGCATAACTGTGCATTTATATATACTCAATGTGTGAAATTAGCCCCAAGCTAGTCTTTGCAACTCCAGAGAGCATCTGACATTTGATTAAAAAGAACAAAGACTGTCTGAAACTAGATAATCCTGTGGTTTCCTCTCAGAATTGCATTGTATTTTGTGGGGAACCAAAAATTGATTTTTTTATTTGTTCATGAAAGCATTAGTCAAAAAGAATCGTGAGTTTTTTAAATGTCACTCTCTGTTTTTCCTTTATTTGGGCTTTTTAAAAAAGCCAGCCAAATTCTCAGAAAAATTGCATAAATGGGCAATTTTGCGTTAGTGTTTTATTTTAATTGATTCTAAAATTGAGGGGTCCCTTAAAGCAAGAAAATGAATTCTATCCATAAAACAAAATAGTGTGCATTTAAAATCAACAATTGTTTCTGTCTGTTTTTTACAAAATTCTTAACTATTTTAATGAATTATAATTCACTGGACCAAAAATAAGCCAATTTTAATATAACTTGCCTAAGGCTGTAGCTATAAAATGGGGGGAAAAATAAAAAGTATCTCTATCTCTTCTAGTATCCCTGATCAGAGACAAAAGACTCCTTCTGCATTTTCCTCATTAGTTTCTTCTCCTTCCTTGTCCTCSTCTACCCATTTTTTTCCCAGAGACCTTATCCAAGAAACAGATTTTAGAGAAAAGTGTTTGATCCTTGTTAAGAATGTCATGCTCTTGACATCAGTAATGAATAGACCAGCAGAGAAAAGCAAGCTTACTGCAGCTCCCCATAGCATGCCTGGCTTTGTCTCAAGGGAAGCTAGGGATTGCTTCTTCTCTGTCATTCCAATAGTGTCCAACGGACAAAGCAATCTCATTTTCTGCAGGGATTTTCATAATCTAGCTGGCCTTTGCTCAAGGGATCCAGTGATTCCTTTCATCATCCAAAAGACTTTACCACATCCTTTCCTGAGCCAAAACTCCTCCTCTGAGATCAGTTATTGCAACCTCTGCAAGGTGAACATGGATGTTATTTACCGCCACAAACTCCATCCAGCCATGCTTTATACATGGGCACACTGTCAGGCACGGAATTTATCCTTTTTGAGTTTTTAGAAACATGATTTCCAGAGTTCCATAGCATATGTGAAGTACAGTGCATCACAATGAGTGCATTTGCTCTTGGTCATTTCTGTTCTCTGTGGGTACAAGATGTGCAAAAGAATATAGGTTTATGAAAAATCAAAAGYCCTGCATGTCATTGTTCACCTGTGGAGGATGTTTGATCACAGGTACCAGGCAGCAGAAGCTTTTAGTTTTTGAGTTATTGTAATTCAGCAAAGTGCTTGTACAAACACTTAATTTCACATGTTTTTTTAATCCCTTCCTATTTGGGAAGCTTTTAGGAATGCACCTTATTTTAAACTGCACTCTGTAAAATTCACATAAGTTTAGAAGCTGTGCAGCAGTTGGATGTAAATGACAGGGTAGAAGAAGGAAGAGAAAATGGTAGTAAAACAAAAAAGRGGAGAAAGCATGAAATAACTTTTTCTTTTTTTGATTTTTCAGCATAAACTGGGATGAAATAGAATTATTTCTTTTAATCTATGCTGATATTTTAATGAAATATCTCTTCCTGGGAAGCCTTTCTCTTYCAGAGACAATTTGTATAACACATTATTATGCAGTGCTTTCATTCCTTTCTGCTGAACATGATAATTTCTGGGGGTTTTGTGAGAAAAAGCTAAGTGCTTGCTCTGGGTATTGAAGTTTTCTGTTAAGCTAGGTCTTTGTTTGSAGACTTCTTCATACTTTCTTAATAGTGTGGCTTGACCTTCAGCACGACATTACTTTCTCATCCCATGGCTACCCTGATTATTCTGAGGGTTGTGATTGAGTTTTGCAGGTGTGTTGGACAGAGACTAAACTAGGGCCCCTTGCTCACTGAATATAGATCATCAAGCATTTGTGTGATGTGTGATAACAGATTATTTCCTTGGCTTGCTGTTGACTTGGGTTCAATTTGCACCTGAATAAGAGCTTTGTGGAAATGAGCCAAAGGCCGCTCTAGGCAGCGGGCAGCCTTTTACTGTCACTGGTGGATCTWCTCATTGACCTCACAGGATATTATTAACACCCTAAAGCTGAGTGGTATTTCAGTCCTTTAATTATGGGTTTTTTCTGTCCACAAAGAACAAAGCACGCTGTGAAAGCGGTGTTTCTACAGCAGTAATTGTCAGGGTTCTTCCTGATGCACTTCTTTCTGCTAYTCCCTTTCTCAGTTTGCTGCATGCAGTCTCTTGTTGGCTGCACTTTCATCTCTGGCAGAGCAAACAACTTAAAAACATGTTCCCTTTTGCTTTCACTGTTGTTTTTGAAGGGATTTTTTATCCTTYGGGACTTTTCCTCTCTGACTCCTTAAAGTCTAATATTGGTCTCACAACCCACGCTGTTCCTCCCACCTCCCTACCTACCATTGCTCATGCACCTACTCTTCTAAGAAAGGATTTTCATTATTACCAGTGTTTCTTTTTATATAAGGAATAACCTTTGARCAGCACAACTGTGTCATATCTCCTTTACATAATACAAATTTATTTTCCTGGTTTTGCCGAGGATTTTTTTCTTGCTATACCGTACAATCTGCCTCCTACAATTTTCCTCCATTGCCATGGTTTCCATGTGGTTACAGCACATGTGTCAAATTCTGTGGTACCATTCTGGGTAAAGCGCAGCTTGCTGTGATTTTGAAATACACACCTCCGCTGCTGCATTCTCATTATCCTAACAGGAAGTAAGCAGATTTTTTCCTTTGTCTTTTTTGGCAGTATGGTCTTGGTGTTTAAGCTTTCACAGTCTAGATAAACTGATTCAGCTGGAAAAAAATAAAAAAAAAAAAAAAAAGGTGGTGTTTTCTTGCCCATTCCTGAAAAGTGGCAAAAGTTTATCTCTCACTTGTAAGCAGATGGAAAATGGACTGGTTAGCAAACTTCTGAAGAAGGTGCAGGTGACAGAAAACTGACAATTCTGTTACAGCTGAACTTGATTCAGAATATATTCCTTCACTATCTATATGTACCTTGTTTATGTTTAGCATGKTTTTTGTTGGGAAAGAAAACATGCAATTGCATTTCAGTCCACATGCCAACCTGTCACCTCCAGCTTCCAGTAACTTTTAAATCCATTGGCCAGCTATAACCAAGTTTGTTAGAGAGACTGAGATCTGAATCATACAAAGGTCCAGCAGACTTTATGAAGATCTGTGGCTGAACAGGACAAAGAACAATGTGCAGACATTCCTTTTGTTCTTTTGAAGGACTATGGGCAAAGTAGCTTTGGAATAGCAAAGGAATAATTGAATGGTGGTGTTTTCTCAGTCTTAAAAGAGCAGGAATATAGAAGGGACTGGAAAACTGTTGAGGACAAGAGGTCTGAGAGATGGATCCTGTCACCACAGTTTTTCTACTTCATTTTCCCCTCTTCCTCTTCAATGCAGGCAYACTCACTGCTTAAAATACAGGTTCRGATTATGCYTAACTCATTATTGCCACTATTGTGGGGACTTCAGCCACTTGAATCTTTTATTTGTGTCTTTGTTTGTTTGTGGTTTTGTAACGTATTATGGAACTTGATGGTAATCTGTCAGTGGACATGGATTTGGGGTCATATACAGTTGCAGAATTTTTTCTTTTGACCTCATATTTGATCCCATAAACTTTTTTCTGTTTGTTGTACTCTGTGATCACTAGTGAATAGACAATTTTTATGAACTTGATAATTTGTAGATGCATTTGTAAAATTTATGTAAAAAGGATAGAAGGAAAAACAAAAATGAAGATTTTTTTTTCTTAGCTAATCTTTGTTTTCAAGGTGTTTTACTAGGCATGTGATATTTTTCCGGTCATCTGTGATTAGGGGAAACTCAATTATAAACACCAAAACCACTTTTTAGTGCACACCAAGTTTCACCACTGATGATGAAGAGAGCATGTGAGCATATAAGCATTAGACTTCTTATCCCATGGGAAAGAATTCTTCTATATAACTTCAATCATAGCTGCTACTATTCCTGTGATTTACTGTGTAGATGAGTGATACTTAGAATAAACCAAACAATTTCTAACTTTAAAGTTTATCAGGGACATTCCAAAAATAATATCTCAAAATATGAGCATGTTGTTTGTTTACACCCACGCTTATATTTTTATATATTAATACAAGTAGAATAARTACTTTCTACTTGTATRTSCATGGRAATCTGGAGAAAAAAATKGTTTTGAAAACYAAATCACAATAAATGATCAAGCTCCAGTAAGTGGTAGAATCTGTCAGCAAGCTTAGTAGCAGTGACAAAAGCAAGAAAGAGGTAGATCTGRTTTATACATCCTGTACTCAAAAATTTTGCATCACCTCCCTGAGAACTGATCAAGTCAGCTGCTGGAGGACAAACCACCAAGCTGGAATCAACCTATATTACTAATCAAATCTAGACAGAGTTGCAGCACCAACTCTGCTAGGCTGACTTGGAAAGAAAATCAAACCACTCCATTGTTACTTAGTATAAGGTGGATTTCAAGATGGGAAATCCCCTGGTCCTTATRAAAGTGATCCTTGGGAAGTGTCTGCAGTGATGGAAATTATAAGGATTGTATGGATAATTTTAGCCTTAAACAGTGCCCTTACACTTCACTTC